ATTCCAGACTCCAATATACAGTTCCTGAATTATACTGGAAAAGAGTCAGTTATGTAACAAATCTGCATTACTCCCAACTGCACACGTGCCAGAGATAACAGGCTACATTTTCTAGTTTAGGTCCAAACTAAAATGTTTTAAATTGTGTCACAACTTATACTTTAAAGTATGCACTGCATGAAAGTGTATATAATTTCTCTGAAAAATGAGTAACCCTGTTGGAAATTCAGTAAGCACTGTTCAGCTTATCTTCTTTAATAAATATGGATTCTCATATAACCTGCTTGCAAAAGAAATCTATATTCAAATTCCTCCCTCTCTCATGGGAAATTAAAACATACAGAAAATGAAAATTCAAACTGTGTTAGGAAGACCCCGGACATGAAAATGTAAGAAACTTAAGTAAATTTCAAACACAATATGCAATATTGCTAATGTGTAAATAGGGATATTTGGAAATTCCTTGAGGATGGCTCAGTATCCTGCTGTTGGCAATGCTGATCTAAAGTTTAGCAAAAGAAAATCAGACATGATACATATATACAGAGTGAAGTAAGTGCTATATAAGGGCAGGCTGCAGGCTGGACCAGGCTCCTGACTGATGGACTAGCTGACCTGTCTAGGGGGCAAGACCCCTTCCCAGCTTCCTCATCTTGCTTAATGGCTGTCTAACTGCCACCCTGCCAAGGTCCAAGCCAGGGTAGGCACCATGGCATGACGGGGGAGGTTTCATGTCATTTTCTGAGCCTCAGTTTCGTTTTGCCTTGATATAACCATAAGCCAAAATAAAAAAAAGAATCCTTGCTGCTTTTATGAAACTTTCAGGCAAATGCATGCTATCCTACTGATACAGATAAAATCTGTATTTTCGTGTTAATCAGGAATTGTAAAGGACTTTTGCTGCCTATTCCAAGTTTATGATAGACAAAGTATTCTTTTTTAGACAGACAGTACAAAATGGGCTTCTCTGTAAGTCTTCTCATATGGAAACCACGATTTTAATTTTTTATTAAGGGAATCTAGAGTCCCTTAAAAAAATCTCAGATTCCAGAAAAACTCTTCTTTGATATCTGGTTCGGAAACAAAAAACAGAAAAGACTTAGAAGAAAAGGGGCCAAGAGCGGTGCACTGGAAACCTCCAAGAGGAAGCGAAAAACATGTCTGCTTCTTCCACAGTCACGTCCGTCCAGAACGTACCGGCTGTCTTCCTCTTCCTGGTCCAGTCCCTTCCGGTTCCGTTCCTGTCCTTCTCCTTCCGGCCCTCAGGTGAGGCGCGGCCAAGACGCATCCGCACCAACAGGTGATGCAGGAAGGAAGCCAAGCCCGCCCAGGGGACAAAACTGGGCTGGGAGCGCAGGGTATCTACGCGGGCAAAGTCAGGTACAGGGGATGGAGCCTCAGACGGGGGAAGGGCAGCCTCACTTGGACAGGGTGTTGGAGCCCGGCGGGGGATGGCGCGCGGGGAGGGTGAAGGGAGCGACGCTGGGCCAAGTGGCCGGGAGGGGGAGGGGCTGACAGTTGAAACAGCAGACTGGTCGCACACACAGTTTCATGGGATAAATAAATACATTAAGAATCACGAGAGCTAAATATTTTTCACTGTTGGTCAAGAGAACCTCAGTGGAAAGACAGAAAACTGGCCGGAGATGTACACTGGATTGGAAATGGAGGCATCGTCGTGAAGTCACGGTGTTTCACATGTCAGCAGATATGAGAATTAACTGAGGATAGAGCATGCGGCCTCGCCTTGGAGTGCTGACTCTCCAATGGCAATGGAAGGACCAAAAGCCCAGATCTTGCCGCAAAATGTTATTCTTCACCAAAGATACCCAGGGCTCCTTGGGGAGATGGCTGACTTCAGAGCCAGGCCAGAGAGGGCACAAGAGCAGACCAAAATAACTTGTGCTGGGAACTGAGGAAATGCTCAAAGAATCACAGGACAAGTCAAAGGTACAGCTCCGAGGGGCATCTAATGAACAGGTCTGAGGCCACATGGGCATCAAAATGGGGCTTCCCCAGTGACTCACGGGGCAAAGAATCCACCTGCAATGCACGAGACATAGGAGATGTGGGTTCAATCCCTGGGTCGGGAAGATTCCCTGGAGGAGTAGATGACAACCCACTCCAGTAGTTTAGGCTGGAAAATTCCAAGGACAGAGGAGCCTGGAGAACTACAATCCAGAGGGTAGCAGAGAGTCAGACATGACTGAGTGACTAATACTTTCACTTCCACATACCATCAATGGATTGCCAATGTCCAAAAAATAAAATGAAACAAAAAATGATTAGTAGGGACCCATGTTAAATAAGTGCACTGCTTCTTTGGAGCATTAAAGGTAAGGTGATGCTCATCATCAAGGATGGGATGTTATTGTTTAGTTGCTCAGTCATGTGTGACATTTTTCCAATCCCATGGTCTGTAAAGGTTCATATATCTGTGGAATTTCCCAGGCAAGAACACTGGCATGGGTTGCCATTCCCTTCTCTAGGGAACCTTCTTGACCCAAGGATCAAACCCAGATGTTCTGCATTGGCAAGGGGATTCTTAACCATTGAGGCACCTGGGAAGCCCCACTCGATGGGTACCTTTTTCTTTATATCAGAGCAATAATCTTTATTTTAAATAGTTTTGCTTCAAACAATTACTCCAGAGCAATATAACTATCTACTCTACAGCATTCTGTCTTTTATACACTTTTCATAAAAGGGAGTCCATAAAATGTTTTCCTCACATCACAAACCAGTGTTATTTTTAGGTTCTATTTCTAGCAGTGGCCAAATGCACTTAAAACTCTTCTACTTCATTACTTTGATGTTTACCTATGAACCTTCCATTCGAAAGCCGTTGGCATATTCCGCCTTTCTCAGCTCTTGAAATCACTGTGAAATTGTTTCTGAGGGGCTGGAAACCTGACCTTTTATTCTTCTGTTCCTTTCAATGTTATGCTTATATGAAGTACTATGGAATGAAGAATTTTTATTCTTTTGTTATTCTCGAATCATCCTATCTCTGCCTGTCCAGTGATAAGAAGTATTTTTCTTTGTTGGTTTTGGAAATTGAGAAAATAAAAATTTAAGATTACATCCTTACCGTATTTTTTTAAGCAATGCAAAAAAACAACTGTGCTTAAAAAAAAAAACTCAACACAGTACTTGATATCTAAAATATGCCAGGTTCTTTGCAAATCACTTCCTTTTTCCTTTTATTCTAACCCTATTTGACCCTTACAGGCAGGTGTCACGATCCTCATCTCCCAGATATCTTCTCTATTACATCTGCACCACCTGACACTTCCTTGATTCATGAAGCATCAGAAGAGACAGGTACAAAATGTTCAAGGGATGTGTTCCAAGGTGACCAGAGACCAGGAAGATGCTGTGAGCTGGGAAATATGTCTGTGTGCCCTGTTGCCTGTGTAACCAGGACTTTCCTGCAGTGATTTTTATAGTGTAAACTGGCAAAGTGAATTGTTATTGTTACATAATATTATTACGTAAATTATTATGTACTCATTCTTACATAAAACATACCCATCACCCTGACCTGCATTCGACCACCTAAGGTGGAGCTGAATGATTCTACTTAATGGAAGATAAAAGAATGGAATTTATGGGAGGAATGCCCCATGAATATCCTCATGGGAGGCTCTGAAATGCAGGAAAAAAAAAAAAACAAGTAAAAGCTGGGGCAGAACTCAGGTAAAAAGGAGCATTTCTTTCGCCTCTTCCCAGTCATGGCTGGATTATTTCTTCTTTTCATAAAACACCCACCTTCTTTCTTTCATTTGATTAGTTACTGACCAGCCACTGTGTGTGTCTCTGGAGATGCAGGTTACTGATAAGTGTCTACTCTGCTCGGTCACAGGGAAGAAAGTGTTTCCTCCACTCCCTGGAGTGGACCGTTCTTAGTAAAATCCAAACAAGTCATTGTGAAGCTGACACCCGCAGTGCTAAGTCAGGAGCTTCACCCTCACTCAGTGCCCACAAAGGACATCTCACAAATGCTCAGGCTACTTTTAATGAATGTTTGTTATGAGCACTAGGAGAGGACTATTGAGAAAAGGGGTCCCTGGAAAGCTTTCCAACTAAGAGCAATTACTACAGACCCAAGGGTAAGCCTCCATTTCCATCTCAAGTTTCCAAATAAAACACTCCACCGAGTGAAGGACAAACTGGTTTCTCAGACCCCTGTGGGGGTCTGTGAGCTGGGAAATATGTCTGTGTGCCCTGTTGCCCCACAGGGCTCAAGAGACCCACATCTAAAATCCCCCTTTCAACAACAGTGCTGTTCATAGCCACTCCTCTCAAATCCACTGCGTTTTGAACATAGGCTGCATTTGTTACATTTGATTCCAACAGAGCAGAATAAAACATGCTTTTTATAGGTAAAAAAAGAGACTGTTAAGAATAAGCCCAAACCACTGCCCCTCGTGTTTACAGATGTACACAACAGGAAATTAAATGGCTTTTTAAATGCTTTCAACTAATTAAACAGAAATGCTTTGTGTAAATGCCATTTAGCAGTAAAGCTAACTTTTCTCCTGAAGCATTTTAAGAAAGTATTTTGTATGTCCTTGGACTTGCCAGAGGATTAAGAAATAGAGAACTTTTTTGTCCTCTATAAAGACGGGGTTTTGGATATCTCTCAGAGAGGGAGATGGGAGGGAATCATGAATTTAATTATATAAGTTGCTTCACTCTAAAAATAAGAGTGCTAAATTATAATGCATAGTAACAGCTTTTAACAATCAAATCAGCAAAGTGGAACCGCCATTTCCAATTTCGCCATTGCCGATTGCTAAGTGACTGCCGATTCCACCTGCAGAGAGACGGGGGGGACCTGGCCACCCATTAGCAATACTCAGAGTCAGCACCAGAGAGCAGAGCTGGAGCACCTGCCAGGCACCAGCTGACAGTCACACCTCGAGCAGGCGTGCGGCACTGGCCCCATCCCCGGAGGGATGGGGAAGGTCACCATGCGGAGGCGGAGATGCACCTACCTGCCAGACCAGGTGCTCCTCAGCCCCCGGCGATGCAGACAGGCAGACGCTCAGCACAACGGTGTGAGAAGAGGAGGTGAGCACGCTGGCGATGATGGCATCCCGCATGTTGAAGGGCAGCATGGTGTACACCACGAAGATGATGAAGAGGAAGAAGGAGACCTGAGGTGGGGGAGAAGGGTGGTGAGAGTCACACAGTGTCGCTGCTCCTAAGGCTCCCTCTCGCCTTCCCATCACAGGCTTCACAGGCCCCCAGGAGCCACAGCCATTCAAGAAACACTTCCGATAAAACAAGGAGGCATGTGCAAATAAATCCACTGGGTCCCAGGAAAGGACTGACTGTTGTGATGGAAGGGGGGAAAAAGGGTTCTTTTTCAAAATTTGGGGATTTCTAGTTCTGACATCTGAATCACTGCAGACATGAGGTGAGTCTGAGCACCTCGTGGGCATGGATGCAAAGCTGGTTCTAAACTCTCAGGGCTTAGTATCTGTGCTTTAGAACACGTATCAGGACTCTTCACATTTTTTATCACAGCATCTTAAGAAGAGACCCAAGGAGAGTGGATGGCTGCCATCTGTGGGGAGTCAGCTCTTTGAAGTAGACGCAAAGAGCAGGAATATGAAATTAACAAGATAAATCAGCTCAGAGGCAACTCCCCTAGAGGGAATATCAAAGATTAAATATACAATTACTATATGACCCAGCAATTCCATTCCTAAATGTATACCGTAGAGAACTGAAAACAAGTACTCAAACAAATACATGTACACACGTGCTCATAACAGCACTATCCACAATACTCAAAAGAAGGAAACAACACAAATGTTCATCTACGGATGAAAGGATAAATGACATGTGGTCCATGCACACAATGGAATACTATCCAACCCTGAAAAGGAAGACAGTACTGATACAGGCTACAATGTGGATGAATCTCAAAACCAGTAGGTTAGGTAAAGACAGCTAGGGCAAAAGACCCCGTACTGTATGATCCCACTTACAGGAAGCATCCAGAATAAGTAAATTTATATACAGAAAGCAGATTGGTGGTTTTTAGGGGCTGTGGCAAGGAGGAATGGGAATTAACTTCTCAACAGGAAAAGGGCTTGATGAGAATGTTCTAGAAACTAGACAGAGCTGGATACTGCACACTGTGAATGCATTAAAAAACCACTGAATTCTTTCCTTTAAAGTGGCTAATTTATGTCATGTGAATGTCACCTCAATAAAAAAAAAAATCAATGTGAAACAGCTTAGAGGAAAGTTTGGAATGGAAAAGAAAATGGTTTAGTAGGTAATAAAACAGGCCATTTTCATTACAAAAGCAGCAGAACATCAAAAGCGATAAAAAGGTGATAAATCAAGTGGAAAAGAGACCAGACCAAGGTCAGAAAAACAGGGAGCATGAGGATTTGGTGAGCTTCATTCAGCACACAGGTCTTCACTCAAAAAAGCAAGTGAGGCCAAGGAAAGAGCTTGCCCCACTTTTACAGGATGACCCAGGTTACTTTGATTTTGATGTTTACTCAGTTGTGTTTGACTCTTTGCAACCCCATGGACGGTAGCCCACCAGGCTCCTCTGTCCATGAGATTTCCCAGGCAAGAATACTGGAGTGGGTTGCCATTTCCTTCTCCAGGAGGTCTTCCCAACCCAGGGATGGAACCTGAGTCTCCTGCATCTCCTGTATTGGCTGGTGGATTCTTTACTGCTGAGCCACCAGGGACGCCCTCGGGTTACTTTAAGGAATCCTGAAGCCCAACAGAGTGGGAAGAACTTAACAGCCGGGGCAGAGCTGTTCTGCTGGAGTTCGGATGGTGTGAATTCACATGAAGGACATGGACAAAATTCTCTGTTCTGGGTCTAACAAAGAGAAGCCTGGGTGGACACCAGGTTCGATTCCCCTCCTGCACAGTCACGGGAGCTTGTAACATGCATTACAATCAAAAGGTAACTGCAGATTCTGTTAGGCAGGGTGTCAGCCTCAGCACTACTGACACCTGAGGCTGGAGAATTCTTCATGATGGACACTGTGCACTGCAGGATATGTTAGCAGCGTCCACGGCCTTGACCCACTAGATGCCAATAACATTCCACCTTCAAAGCTGTGACAATTGAGCACGTCTCCTGCCCTTGTTAAGAGTCTTCCAGGGCATAACACTGCCCTGGTTGAGACTGGTTGAGAACCACTAAGCTACAGGGGAAAGTTTTTCTCAAGAATGAGAAAAACAACTGCTGCCCAATCCCAGCTCAGTGAGAAAATTAAGCCTACTTTGGAATCCCTAGTAACCAGCAACTTTACAGGAAAGACTTTTAATCAAGGTATTTTTATTTCTACACATAGGATTTATGCCAAACCCTTATATCCTATGTGTGTGCTAAGTCACTTCAGTTGTGTCCGACTCTTTGCAACCCTAAGGACCATAGCCTACCAGGCTCCTCTGTCCATTGGATTCTCCAGGCAAGAACACTGGAGCAGGCTGCCATGCTATAAGAGGTATTAAACAAATATGTTCAGGTATCAAAGTTGACAATTACAAAAGACAACCTCTTTGCCAACTACATGTTTTTCTTCTAATGTAAAATTCTTTAGCATTTCTTTGAAATTAACAAAACTTTTGAACAGCTTAATTTTGGACAGCTTTTAAACTCCAACGTGGTTTCAATTAATACACACTCTGCTAACAGTTTGAGCTTTGAAATGCAAGCACACGGCAAGCTTATCTGCAGTAACCAAATAGAAAAAATAGAGGCGGTTGGTTTTCCCAATACATATGGTTGCTCCTGTTATTCACTTTTGGATGACAAAATGAAACTGTTAAAGGTCAATTAAGCAAGCCATATTCAAATAAGTTTTGGATTTTGGTGGCAGCATTTCAGGAGCCAAGTTTTGGGAGCTCGGTGAGTGATGCCCAGCTGCATTTGGCAGACTAGAGGGAAAGAGCTTAGTACCGTTTCAAGACCCACGGTGGGGGCAGTCGGCAGTTTTTATTAATCCCAGAGGACTTTATTTTTTTTTTAGCCTGCTTTCCAGAACAACTTCAAATAGGGCCATGTGTAAAACCACAATGGATCTGGCACATCTACAAAAGTGGGAGGGTATAAACTCCAAAACGTTGAATGCAGGCACTTGGGTTTCCATGTTACCATGGGGACATTTCCACCACTGATTCCCCTTGGATATGTCTCTGACCAGAGGCTGGAGAGAAAGGGGAGGACCAATCCGGCTCTGGAAACTACACAGAAACCCACATGAGCACCGGATCTGAAGAGACAGCCCTCATCTCAACAGAATCATTTCGAGAGTTTCTCTTAACTCTGGTCCAGCATCCGCCTTTTGCAAGACATGCATTATCTTCCCCTTGAAGGTCCACTTGACTTTCAAGCTCCACAGGTTTCAAACCAACTATGAGACTGTCCTTTATGTTTTTAAACCTGTTCCTCTTACCTGATGACTCAGTTCGACTCAGGACGCCTTCCTCTCCAATCAACCCAGGCATCAACGTTTGAGAATCAGTTCTGACAATTCTACACATACATACTTAAAAAAAAAACCTTCTGACTACCGAACTCCAGCGTTTGGCATCTGACTGCTCCTCTCTGCTGTCACAGCCACCAGGCGGGCTGAAGACCTTTCCATTCAGTAAGGAAACCTGCTTCCACAATTTCCCTCCCTACTCTCCCCAAGGTAAGCATCCTTCCTCCCTCCTGGCAACCATCAGGACTCTTTTCCAGACAGTTCTAGCTCTCCTCCTTCTCAGCACATGGTAGACATGCATTGAGCATTTCTCTGAAATTAGCTGAGGCCATGTGACTTGCTTTGACAAGTGAAGCATAACCAGAAATGATACGTGTCCTTTGTGGGTGGAAACTTTAAAAGCAAATGCACAGTTTCTCAAGTCCCTTCCCTCCCTGGCAATCGTGGAAACATGACATTGGATGGAGCTCCTCCCAGTCTTGGTCGCAAAGGAAGGACAGAGCCCCTCGATTGACCCACCTGAGTCTGTGGGCAAGTGAATGAGCCATTACCCTTGATGCTGGCAAGACCTGGGTACCCCTAAGCACAGCCTGGATGGTCCTGACTGATACCAAGCTTATACAGACACACATACACACTTGCACACATGCACACATGCACACACATGAGAGGTTTTATTGATGGATTAAATGGGATGCTCTTATATGCATTACTCTGCAATTTGCTTTTATCAATATATACACCATAGGCATCTTTCCAAGCCTATCGTGTGAATACGTTATTTACTTTTTACCAGTAGCAAAATATCCCATAGAAATGGATGCACTGCATGACTCCAGAATTTCCTTACAGACCAGCCCTGCGGCATGATAGGAAGCCCTGATCCAACTGCTGCAGTAATGCTCTCACAGGTCTCCTTCCCACCAGAATCCCCCCTTCTTTAATCTGGCCTACATACAACTGCTGGATGGGCGAGTCTGAGTGCAAAAGGCTGTTTGTGGTTTCCTTAGATGCACGCTTCCTTAGGCTCACCCTGTGCTCTGAACACTTCTCTCCAAGGTTTCTTGTGATCACAGAGTCACAAGGAAACCATATGGTCTGGAGGTGTTTTCATCCTCACCCCAATCCTGCTCCAGAAGCATCCTCTGCTCCGGCCCACCCAAACCATTCCCCCACCGTGAGCCTGGGGTACTTTTGCCTCTAGGTCTGCCGTTCCCCATTATCAGATGGTCCTGTCGCCTCTTCTTGGTTCATTCAAATATCACCTCTTTCTAGATCCAGTGCATATACAGACTCTTTTATCATTTCTCCAACAGTCTCCAGCGGCTCCCTATCTCACTCAGAGGCAACTCCCAAGGCCTGGCAACGTCCCGCCAGTCCTCCTGCAGCCGCGCTGCCCTCCTCTCTGCCGGCCCCCGCCTGCCCTTGCTGGGATCCAGCATCTGCAGCCTCCTGACTACTTCTGGGGCTTGCCAGGGATGCTGCTGTGGTCCCCCTCCAAGGCTCCCTCTTCCCGCTCAGGCCTTTGATCAAGTATCACTCTACCTACCACGCTTCCCTGCTGACTCAGACGGTAAAGAATGTGTCTGCAGTGCAGGACACCCGGGTTCAATCCCTGGGTCAGGAAGATCCCCTGGAGAAGGAAATGGCAACCCACTCCAGTACTCTTCCCTGGAGAATTCCAT